TCTTCCTCAACAGGTAACGTCAGACTTATTACTTTTTGCCGACGACGTGAAACTTTGGAGAGAGATACGCAACCAAGACGATATACAGGCACTTCAGGAGGATCTGACTCGACTTCAAAGTTGGGCAGACGATAACGGACTTACCTTTAACACTTCAAAGTGTAAAGTAGTCCATCTGCGACATGTCGCAAACTACAGTTACAACTTAGGAAACTCCTCTCTAGTAGTATCCCAAGTCGAAAAAGATTTAGGAGTCCTGGTGCCCCACTATTTAAAGTCTTACGCTAACTGTGACAAAAATGCCTTCCGAGCAAACCTTGCACTGGTAACGTTGAAGCGCATTTTTGGCCAGTTTGACGGAAGAACTTTCCATACAATCTTCAATAGTTTTATCCGTCCCCATTTAGAGTACGGAAACATAGTATTTCCCCCTCACTCCGAAAGGATAAGGATACCCTGGAGCGTATCCAACGGCGAGCCACGAAATCAGTCCGAGGACTCAAATTTAAACCTTACGAAGAGCGCCCCCAGTCACTTAAACTTTGTAGAATTATGATCCACTATGATATTAGTACTGCCCTAATAATAGACCTAATCCTAAATTTGTAGATTTGTCATGATATAACTGCCTAATCTATAAGATCTTACGTGGAAGTCACACCATCGACTACGCCAACTCACTGTACCGTATCAATTACCAATACATGATGTAGAGCAAGGTCAGGCTAGAGAAGGAACAATATATTTAATATGAATAGAAGATATAAGGTAACATTCAGATGGACCACGCCTGCATGGTCGAGCCATGCCATCCGATCAACTCCAGTCCATTCAACTCATTGTTCGCGCCTTCTCCATCGTTAGGTATTTCTCCGCGTCAAATATTGAGTATCTATTTTTCGAGTAGTCTCGTGTTCAGCTTTGAGGATTGTGTGATTATGGTCCAATGCCACTACAACTTTACCCGTTAGAGTATGGACGTCTTAGAGGTGACCTTCTGATGGCTTATAGTATCCTTAACACTTCTGGACATCCTCTCAAACACCTACTTAAGCTTAGTTCCAACACTAACCTAAGAGGTAACACCCAGAAACTGGAGACACAACATAGCAGAACGGACTGTAGACACAACTTCTGCTCCTTAAGAGCTGTCAAATGCTGGAATTCGCTGCCGGCCGAGCTAGTCCAAGCGACTTCTCAGGAGTCCTTTAAGAGGCCACTTGATCTATTCCTAAGGACTAAGGATAGTATCACACTATGATTTACTAATTTCTTTTCCTCTTTTATTGTTAACGTACCTAGGTTCCTGCCTGGAGGATTTGGTGATCCTCTGCTACTAAACACGGAAGTCTGTTAAGCGAAAGCTTCTTCTATTCCATCCACAACCATTTGAACCATTTGAAACAAGAACTCTTTTCGACATGAATTCCTGGTTTGCCCCACACTGACCTGGAACATGATACTCGGGGTTGACTTCATGTTAAAATATCAAGTCTCTCTAGGCATGAATAAGTCGGAAGCTAAAATTGGAGGGGTTGTCGTGCAACTACAACGCCAGGAAATGCCAACCGAAACCGTAGCCCAGATGGGAATTGCAGAGAGTATACGTCAAGTACAAGATAACCAAATAATAAGCGAAAAGGACCGTCGAGCAACCATTGACGTACTCCAGCGATTTGGCTCTGTTTTCTCGAGGAATATCTCTGGAAATCGGACAACCATTGTGCAACATTCAATTACTACAGGTGACCACATGCCATTACCCCAACCACCTTGCAGAGTACCAGTACATTATCAGCCCCTCTTAGAATCAATGACAAAAGATATGATAGAAAAAAAGATTATTGTACCATCTTCGTCACCCTGGGCATCGCCAATTGCTTTGGTAAAAAAGAAGGATTCCTCCCTACGACTGTGTGTAGACTACCGACGCGTTAATGCTATAACTAGGCGTGATTCTTTTCCACTTCCACTGATAGACGCTACCTTAGATGCCATGTGTTATGAATTTAAGTTGTGGGCCGATTTTACCCTGTGTTATCGATCGATTCGATGACACGTAAACACGTACGGACGGTCTAGAGTCTCTATTGGTCTCGCTTCCCCGTCTAGCCCAGTTAGTTTAGTCCAGAACACAAGTCACAGCCTCGGAGATATGAATCACTATATTTCAAACATACTTTGTTTATATACTAGTCAAGCATACCACAGCGTACCATAAAAATAGAAAACAACATTTTGTACAATATTCAACAAGTGAACAGATATCGACCAATAGGAAATGTGCATTTAAAGTCCAAGGACACCATTGGACTTAACATGACAATTATTGGTCTATTCCTCCGCATCCACAACACCATGAAAGGTGCTCGCTGGTTCTCGACCCTAGACTTAGCATCAGGGTATTAGCAAGTGGAAGTTCGACCCGAAGATAGAAAAATCCGCATTTATAGTGCCCAATGGACTATATGAATTTCAAGTAATGCCTTTCGGGCTAACTAATGCCCCAGCTACCTTCCAACGATTGATGCAGACAGTTCTGCAAGGTCTCGTACCGCACCAGTGCTTAATCTACCTTGATGATATTATTGTATATGGCAGCACGCCAGAACAACATAATGCCAATTTGAAGGCAGTCCTACAACGTATTAGGCAGCATAACCTAAAAGTGAAACCATCTAAATGTCGACTATTGCAAAATGAAGTGCTTTTCTTAGGGCACCGCATTACAGAAGATGGAGTGGCAACAGATAAAGAAAAGACACGTGTGATTGTTAATTGGCCGCAACCAAAATCACCCGAAGACGTTCGTAGCTTCCTTGGACTAGCTTCTTACTATAGACGCTTTGTACGTGATTTCGCATCATTAGCAGCACCTTTACACCGATTAACCCACAAAGGACGAAAATTTTTATGGACCAGCGAGTGTCAACAGGCGTTCGATGCTTTGAAGGCTCGGTTAACTTCTCCACCTATATTAGCCTTCCCAGATACTTCAGCAGACGGAGGCGAATTTATACTTGATACGGATGCTAGTTCCTCGGCTATTGGAGCAGTTTTATCACAAGTAGCTCGAGATGGACACGAAAGGGTCATTGCGTATGCTAGTCGACGACTAGATAAGAGTGAAGCACGATATTCTACAACACGTCGGGAGATGTTAGCACTAGTAAAATTCTTACAACATTTTCGCCATTATCTGCTGGGCAAACCCTTTCGTGTGCGCATGGATCACCGTGCATTGCAGTGGCTCCGCTCTTTCCGCAAACCAGAAGGGCAAGTGGCACGCTGGCAGGAACGACTACAAGAGTTTGATTTCACATGCGAGTATCGACTGGGAAATCGACATGCAAACGCGGATGCCCTCTCCAGAATACCCCAGACCACAGATACTCTTAACGCAATTCTTAGTACAGCTCCAGAGACAGATTGGCCCTCCCTACAAGCAACAGATCCAGACTTACAGATTGTTTATCAAAGACAGCTACATGGAAATAGTAAGCCATCCATGAGGGAGCTTAAAGATCAAGCCGTAACAACTCGTCGTATTCGCACTAACTGGAGCAACCTAAAACTATATGGTGACACATTATTCCTAATTAATGAATCAAAACAACCCCTACTGATAGTACCGCGAGTGAAAGTTGAGAGCATTGTGGAACAGGTACACTGCGAACTTGGTCATGCAGGATAACGGAGAACTAAACACGCTGTCCGTCAACGCTTTTGATGGCCATCCATAAACGAAGATGTAGCGCAGTTTTGCAAGAATTGTAACACGTGCTGCCGTTTCAACTCGCCCCAACAGACACCCCGTGCACCAATGACGCCGATGGTGACAACAGGACCACACCAGCGAGTTGGCATAGATATCATGGGACCACTGACAACGACAAAAAACGGGAACCGCTACATACTGGTTATGGTGAATTATTTCACTAAATGGTGCGAAGCAGTACCCATTCCACAGCAAGACGCCCTTACTGTTGCCCGAGCTTTTATCGATCATTGGATCTCTCGTTATGGTGCCCCTGTCTCACTCCACTCCGCCCAGGGTCCAGCCTTTGAGAGTCATCTCATAGCTGAGATATGCCGGCTATTAGGAATCAGGAAGACACACACCACTGCGTGTCACCCAGAAGGTAACGGTCTCGTGAAAAGAACAAACAGAACTATTAAAGCTATCTTACAGTCGTTCTTCAGCAGATCGTCGCCTGAATTATGGGATGAGGTGTTCCCCCAGTGCCTTTTAGAATATCGTACGTCGGTACACGGGTCCACGGGATTATCAACTGCTATTTTACTGTTCGTGCACGAATTACGCTTACCAGTAGAGATACACTCACCCCTTCTGCCCTACGAAGAACAAGAGCATGTACCGTACATACGTACTCCCCGCAACCGACTAGCTGATGCATACCGTCTGGTCAACATTAACTTACGCAAGGCTAGTGGACACCAAAAAGATATATACGATCGTCAGGCACAAGGACCGAGGTATACATTCGGAGATCGCGCCTGGCTACGCCGCCCAATGACATCGCCAGGGAGTTGCAGTAAATTCCATCAGCCATGGCAAGGCCCCTTTGAAATCGTCCTCATCAGATCACCCACCACGTTTGTATTGCGTAACATACAACGGCCTAAAGACGACGTGATAACGGTGCACTACAACCAGATAAAACCAGATCAGACGACATTTCCCTTCGCTGCTCAATTCGCCGATCCACCGCCTGCCAGTAGATTTCATGAAGTACCATCAGAAGGAGGGACAGCATACCCATACCCAAGACCAGGCACTGAGGACAGAGCCTCATTAGGAGAGGGGGAGATGTAACGGGATTAAAATCATCATGTATGATGTTGTTAATAAATTATGTTTTCTTTCTATTGCAGGGCAACCAAGAATAAATCCTTAGAAGAAGAAGAGCAAGCCCTGCACGCACTAAACTTACAGGACGACTCATAAGACCGTTTTGTAAACTAACCCTCTTTTCTGTACATAACCCGCGAGTTTCAATTTTCAAATAAACGACTGTTGGTCTCCATTAAGTGTTCTGTCTATGGTGTGAAGTGCTCAGTTAACATTGTGTGTGTTGTGGCTTTAGGTCTTCCCGCTTTCCAGTGACTGCTGAATACACGTGTTACATTCTGTGTAAGACAGGGATGACAATCGGTTTAGAATTATTGGTTGATTGATTGAATACATACATTTAATTCGGCAGTTGTAGTTATGTAGAGCTAACTGAGCTGAGAATATACACAAAACCCGTCAGAGGATTTAGTCTAACGGCGATTCCAGTGGAGAGATCGACGAGACTATAATTTATAGATAAATCAATCATATTTACGACAACAGGTCCTGGATTTCGGCGCGAAATTCTTTATCTGTTTGGCTAAATAGCGTCTCGACATTTTATCTGGTGTCAGTTCGTAATGAAAATCCTAAATCTAATCCATATTCCTAACCATCAACTGCAAATCATAATCCTTATTCTTCAAACTGGTTTGAAACCCTCATTTAGTCAGTCTGTAGATAGACATTCTTAAGGCCACTTCAGTGTCGCTCAGAGGTCCATAAATTATAGTCTCACCGAGGGCTCTAACGATCTGAAATCATCCCGTATGCTTGCTCACGAGCAGGTTTTAGGCTTTTGGGAGCTTGTTTAATAAACTTTTATAGTAGTTCCAAGTCTATACTCTCGACAAATTGATTAAGAACTATCTCTTCAAGTTTTGTTCTGGAATAATTTGCGGATTTCACTGTCGCTAATTTTTAAAGCGTCCAATAAGGCAGCTGACTTTTCTTCATTTTACTGAGCATGATGAAACTTCTCTTAACTAATCAGGATGCCTTAAAGGCCCGAATACTGGTCGCATTTCAGTAAAAGAATCATTTATTTCTTTTGTCGGTAGGATCCTTATACTTGATAGTCTTGGCTCCTTCAATACTTCTCTAGAAATGAGGGTGTCTAGTAAGCAAGTTTGTCGGTTGCTGGCGAAATCCATCAGAATTTGTCGGCATTCTAGTACCCATACAGAAGACGATCCTCCAGGAAGATATTTTTCAGGTGGTTGGATTTGTGGTTCAGCTGACTGTTTATCTTTTAGCACCCATATTAATCCACATAGTTTTGTTCTACGGTAGTAGTCTCATGCTTCCGTGTTACACTATGATTTTACTATTGAATCAATTTTATTCTAGGCAAACTGGAATTTCAAGGCTACTTTTATAGGCTTACCAGAAACGTATCAAGCAACTCGGTCAGTTGGTTGAAATCGCCATCAGAGTAAATTCCTCAAGATGTGTGGATGCTGATAAAGGGTCTTGGTGCCTTGTGGGTGTTAGCAGCTCTAGAAGTTTCATTTGTCCATAGTAGATGAGGTGTATGTCCAGTAGACCTATTGACGCTATCGCTATATGCCAGGAAACACTTGTTTATAGCTAGATCTATCGATCTGGTTTCTTCCTGACTAAAAAAATACTTTTAGTAGCGTTCTGTGAATCAGTTTGGTCCGCTTGATAAGCCCATTGCATTCTGGATGGTAGGCAGTTGTTCGCGTTTTGCGAATTCCCAACAAGAAAGAGAGAATTCAGCGAATAAAGTTTTCTTTTCGACGAAGTCATTTTTGTGATATAATCCTTTCTGTCCTCCTATAGACATACATTTCCCATATAACAATATATACGAATGTACAGCTTAGGTAAATGATTTCGTCGAAAAGAAAATTTTCTTCGCTGAATTCTCTTTTTCTTATTTAATGACACTTTGGGTTATTTTAATTATCTGAATTCTCAACAATTAACATAATTCTTTAAAACGTATGCTTTCCTAGTTGGCACCTCTTTCCGATGGTAATAAGATTATGATAATGCAGGACCGATAACTTGAGCACTTGTATCAGATAAAACGGCTAGCAGTGGGAGGACGGTCCGGATGTGTTAAAATTGGCGTAGAACAAAACTTTTTTAACCAGTCGAAAGAATGTCGGCACTTATCAGTCTATTCAAAGTTAATATCCTTTGATAGCAAGGTATGAAGGAGCTGAAAATCTTTGGAAAAACCTACAATAAGTTGCTAAACCTGAGTATATGTAACATGATGTACTCTGCCTCAATCTTGGCCAATTTTATGGATTATTAATTTGGATATATAATCGTCAAACCTGAAGAGAGATTATTGGGAAGAATATTCTTCGTGTGTTTTTCGCTTCGGAGTTACACTCAGATTTTACGTTGGAATCCTTTTTTTATCCTAGACATACCAAGATTATGTATTATCGCACGTGTCTTCGGACGGAAACGAAAGTTGTTGCGTATGGAGGCCGAATGTTACGTCAGTCAGAAAAATCATTCGATTCGAGGGTATATACTGAGGTACCATAATATACCTCGAGTACAGTTGCGTGTGGCACAAAAACATCCACGAAGTACCTTTACAACCAGAAAAACTATGGTTAAACACATCAGCAGGGCCAGCCACCAAAACTACACAGAATGAACAGGTCCTTATGAAGTAACCGGTCTCAACATAATCTACGTGTGAAATAAAAGTTACCAGATACGATTCCCAGTCACCTATGATCGTTCACTGTAATGGCCTAAAACAGGCGTACGATTATATATAATATATGGTTAACCAAAGTTTACATCTTACTTTTTTAAAATTGATCTACAATTATGTTCTGTTTTATTTGTTTCTGAGTGAGGGAGGGGAATTAACTTGTATCCTATTGTAATTTCATATTGTTTTGTGTTCCTAAACGGTTTTTTAGTTCGGCGTCCCTGTTCAAATATTACCATACGCTTTTAGGATTGTTGTTTATTTTTGTTACTTCAAAAAGATTTTTCCTCTGTGGAGATCATTGACAGCGACTGAAGATAACGCTCAAAGGAGAGGGAAGCAGTAACATTGGTAATACGGTAAGATAGAATCGACCTTTGATTTGAAATTATTGATTGACCGGTTGGATAAATACCATTAATTTGGCAGTTGCAGTTAGATAAACCTAATTGAGCTGAAAGCATGCACGCATCTCGTCGGGGAATTTACTCTGATGGCGATTTCAACCGACTGATGGAGCTGCCCATTTTAGTTCTGAACCCGAGTAATTCATACGTACATTCATTATTCATATTAAAACTATCTATCACTTCTAGTTGTGTCACTTTTCTTATCTTAATTCATTGTATAACTAAATCCTATCCTCGTTGTCTATAGGATGCTTGATGGTGGTCCACATACTCATCAATTGGTTCGCCTGAGAAGATATAGTAACATGCGGTCAGCTATACTAATGAATACAAATATATATTTGCTATAGTGGTGGGCAGCATTACTTAATATTACTGTTAATAAATGCCCCTCGGTCACAAACATCTGAATATGGATGAGACTTAGTATCAACTATTTCATTATTTTCTTCCAGTAAACATAGGATGTATATTGTTTTCCAGATGTCAAACGTGATACGGTATGAAATGTCTCTAATAATTAAAGCTCTTGGCACTCCTGGTATAAAAGATGCTCTCAAAAGGCATCTCAAAGGTATGCTCGATAATGGTGCTCATCTATTCAACGTCGAGAATCTTGGCTTGCGACGCCTTCCCAATGTCTTTCATGTTCAAGGAGAAAGGCAATATGAAGGGCACTACTTCCTCATTAATTTCAATGCGCCACATGATTCACTTAACCAAATAAGAGTAAGTGATGTCAAGTTTTCTAATCATCAGTTTATATTCTAGAAAATGGCGCGTAAAGACTCAGATATCATCAAGTGTTTCGCTGCCCTTAAAGACGATGGATGGGTGCCACCGTGTTCATTGCCAAATGCAGCTAATTGCGAATTCGGCGAAATCAGGAATCCGAATTATGAAAAGACGGCTAGACGAAGACACGGTTACCGATTGTATTAAATGGGAGTAACCATCAAGTATATAATAGACGAAAGCTTGTAAACTAATGCTTGTTTTTTTCGACGAGTATCTATGTATGGGATGAGTGTCCTAGCAAACATTCAATGGTTGAACTTTATTTTCATTACTTCGGACAGTATTTCCCACTTAACGTACTATTTTACGAGATCCGCTTGTTTTTAGGTTACGATATATTTTGTCAAGAACCACTAAACCTTGCACGAATATTTATGTGTTAAAGTAAATAAATGACATCTTTCAACCACCTAAGTCAATGGACATCCACAACTTTGTGAAGAACTATCTCGTCTGACCAACTGCTACGTTCACTTTTCATATTACTCGACTCTGTTTACGACCACAGATACGTTAATTCAGTTTAGATTCAAATTACCGACGCTAGTTTTGTCCCCAGAGCACTCTGTGATGCGCTACGAACATTTTCGTTTGGATACTGGGTGGGGCTTAGAGATACAACGTATATCCAAAATTTTATAGTTACCAGGTATTCGTGGACAAGATGTATGTCGTTCTTAAGATAGGCCTCTTATAACCCTATATTTTCATTGGGAGCCTGTTATGTTAGTTACCTTCCAGCCTAGGGTTAATTTCGTTTCATCTGCTCTCTAGCTGGCCTGCCAAGTAAATTTGGCTACAAATAAAAAATATTTCAGCTGATACAGCTTAGCCGAATTACCTGTATATAAAACCTAGAACTACATCAGGGTACGAGCCAATAATGGCAATATAGCATTATCATGATAGTTCTTGATTAGCTATTAAATTCACGGATAGATAGTAAACGATATTCACCTGGGATAACAGTAAAAGTGAGGAGATAAATGCGATGCTAGAACCCACCCCAAGGTAAAATTCTGATCAATAAGAACGATTTATATTATTTTAGCTGTATTTACACTATGCCACTTTGTTTCACAAAAATCTCCAAGTGTAGACAAGCCAAGAGCCTTTCCTTGTAATGTCTGAGACGTTGCACCAACAATCTGAAAACAGTGTAAAAAACTAGATAAATTACTACCACTTATGCAGGTTTATAAAAATCTGTGTATCCCTAATATACAGTCCATATTATCTGGTTCTTTGTATGGACATTTTGAGATTGCCTAAATTTACAGTGAGTGGGAGTTCTACTTTTAAAAATCAAGTGGACGAATTCGTTTTTCTTGTTTGTAATAATAAACAAACAGATATGAAACGAAACATGGAAAAGTTTAAAAAAGAGGAGGCAAGAACAAAGAAGGATATTCACTAGTATTTAATTTGACTCTCTCCACACTAGTCTCTCGTTGTTTTGGCACTGACTGTTCTTACTACTAGTTCTATTTTGGGAAGGTCTGTACATTTAAAATCTGAACCATACAAATCGTTTTACACCGTCTATATCACTGATCCATCAAACAAGTCACTGGACATGCTCAAATATCGTTGGCAGGGTATAGTTTGTTGATGTTGAAGATGTTCTATTATGCGTTAGAATTAATATGAAGAAAATATAGACACACTTTTTATATTGAACTTGACGCTAAACTGGTTTATCAACTTTTCTAACTAATATTTGATCAGAGATGTCTTATAAGTATCACCAGCATCTGCTGGGATCACCGGGTAAGAAATAGTGAGCTTGGGTGCAAAGTATTAGGGAATGATGGTAAATCAGTTGGTGAGGTAAATTTTCATCGACTGAGAAGGTTGGGCCACGAGTTACCAATACCTGAAAATCGATTACCACAACGCGCAATGCTCACTAGAATCTTATTTTTTACTACGGTTGAAGTAACTGCTAAGAATTTGGAGTTCATCTTGTGCTGGACCGATGCTTATGCCTGGTGCGTTGTAGTCGATTAACTGAAACTTTTGTTTATCACTGAATCCCTTCGAATGAGCTCTGTATCTAGTTTTAAAATCGCTCTATAGTTTGAAGCTATATTGACTGTGATCTATCTTCCCACTACCATCACTACTAAAATATAATGGAATAGAAATATTGACAAACCTCAACAACCACATAATCACCAGACTTGAAGGATATACGCGAAGAATCTTGATTTTTAGTAGTTGGTATTTGTGTAACATCTTGGTCGAAAATTACCTTCGTATTATAATCATTACGTCCAAACACTTGCGTTGGTGAACGACGACTAGGCTAAAATTAATAAAGCGTAATATTTTAATTTAAGGAACTTTGAAAATTCTTTATATTTGTACAATTAACACTAAGATAGTTGCAAAAGGATGCAACAGTCAGTGACATTTGTCTCTATTGCAAGGAATAATTACTGAAGTGCGCTAATAATAATTTCGAAGCAACATTTATAGATTCATTTGTGATGTATTCCTAAACCGAGCTTAAAGACAAATAGTAGTGCTACTCAATGGCTAGTAAAATAAGTACGTTTTAGTAAAGTTTAATGGATGAAGGTCTTGTCGGGGTTGCTTCGAAAAATAATGCTATTAGCATTTCAAACTCATTTAATACTAGTTAGTGGTCATATCACATTGTGAACACCGTTTATAATCAATGATAATTGACCTCTTTTATTATTGGTTATTCGTATTAAACTTTATTTTAATATACCACTTTTACATAGTTTATTGAAGATCATGTAAATGTTATATACATTGGTATTTATTCGAATGATTAGTTTTTCTTGAGATAAAAAGGTTTCCTTCAATCTTTTTTCTTGTTGTGTGCAGTTGAGCAAATCTTGATGCATAATTGAGTGTTTGTTATTTGATTTATCCAATCACATCAAATCCGTTGTCGTATTAAAAGGGTCTTGTCGAACATATTAACCGTAAATAAAAATCTGATAAGTGGTATGATTTGCAGTGTTTAGTTCATTCATAATTAGCATATGTAATCAGTTATAAATTCCAGATATCCTCCCGCGTTTTTAATAGAAAATCTTTACGAAGTCATATATTGGAGTATTTGAAAATGCAACGCTATAACATTTGATACAGATTGGCTAGGGATATTATTCAGAATAACAAAATAAAGACATGTAAGAGTAGCGATGCCTTTTCAGTCTCGTTCATATCATAGGAATATATCAAGATATGAATTCTTTCTTTCTAAAAATTCATAGTCTTGAACAACTGTATTTACTTAAATAAAAAAACTAGGTAATCCCATTCTGTCAGAAGATTTTTACAAGTACGATGTTTCATAAGACGTGTTGAAATGAGAAGTCAAAATGTTTGTTTTACCAATATTGGCGATCGGATTTGAAAATATGAAGATAGTCTGAAGTCCAAGTTTAAGAAATATGTCATGTGAGTATTTCGTTAGCCTCAAGAAGATTTAGTTCAATCACTCGATACCTGATAAAGTGGAATTTTTTAAGGGAGGGTATTGATAAATACTCAATCGACAAGTCCAAAGAGGCTTCAAGGATCATCAATTATTCGGTAAAGAGCAGTAGCTTCATCATAACAAGAACTATTCACTCAATAATGAAATTGACATTTAGCGCTGACTGAAAAGTTTTATCTTGGATGATCAAAATACTTTTTCCTTTTCAAATAATAATTTTTCTGAATGAACACTGGCGCAAATTAGTCATTGTGTCATTTTTTAGTTAACTTACTCCTTCAACTAAAACAATTTGAATAGAGCCAATTTGTTTTTGATTAAACTCTAAACTTTTGTTTCGAGATATCATTGATAACTCTTCATGTCGTCGTTTTTTCACTTCAATTGGTACATCATCAGTTAAATGATGATATGCAAAAGTTTTCTAAAATGAAGTCAAAATACAACAGATAATGAAATTAGGAGAAGTACAAGGAAACGAGCAAGAAACACTTATTTGTTTATATTGACAGTTTGAATGAACATATTGTGGTGAAATGGATCTTACTTTCAAGCATTAGAATACCGGACGATATGCAGAATCGTATAAAATGAATCCTAATGCCCTTTAATTTAGTTCCAGCCATTTAAACCTACTCGTCATAAATGCCCATTGGTCTGAATCGACATAATCCTAAGGAGCATCCAGCGAGAGAGAACGAGTCAATAAAAGTGAAAACTAAACACGGGTAGATATTTTTTTAAACGAACAGATAAATTCAAGGAATAAAAAAGTGCGGAATATTAAAACAAAGCAAAGAATAGATGTATCTGTGGAATTACAATCCATTTCTAGCTATATCACTTAGTGTCTCCAACAATTTTTGACGGTTGCTGCATGGTCCTGAAGCAGACAGTTTGTACTTCTCAACAAGACTGATCAACATTTAATGGGTTTACAGATTGGCAGTAGGTCCTAGTTCGGTTACCCCTTAAATTTCTTTTAATCCGGTTCTATTCTAGTTACAAATGGGGTGTCGGGTGGTTTAACATGCGCAGCATATTACCGACACTAGTCTCTTAACGTTCACAGTCCTAACAAACGGACCTTTATTTGTAAACAAGAGTATCACCAAACAAAGTATTGATCGGCTTTGAAATGACTGGATGAATAGGCCTAATGACCAATTTGTATGGGAGTTGGTGCATGAATCTTACTACAGTAAACTTAATGTGGTGATGTGATAATGTCGAGTTGGTTTATAGTGTTTAAAGTATGATGAATTATCGATGACTTTTAGATGTTCTCATGTGAATAGACATGTAGAAGGAGCTTTTGCACTCAGAGTGTGAGTTAAAGAACATACCAAAAGTCCTTATTCCACCTTAGTGTTCTTAAAAAAACCAAATAAAATAACTGAACCTATCCTACTGTATTGATTTCCATTAGTGCAGCTAGATAGTATTATTACCCTTCACATAGTAAGCTATTGGCATATGGTCGAGTATTTGATACATTAGACTCTATTCGACGTTTATCGACTGGTTCATTGCACAGAGAGCTAGTGGTTAATCAACACTAAAGAAATAAAAAAGGAATTTCAAAAGCAATATAAATGATGCATACCTCACGCATACTGTACGGAAAACAGAAACAAAATGAATAACCAACACGTTCAATGAGCTCAAGAGATTGAGAGTGATCTTCTTCAGTTTCACCACAAAATCCTGCGATAAAATCACTTGTAAGGCTAACATCTGGAAGAGAGATAACAATGGTATGAACTACGTCAGTATTCGAAGACAATTCATACAAACACATAAAAACTAGCACATTTCCAGAACATTCAGCGGCTACTCAGAATCTAACTAGATTATGACAAGGAAATAAATACGGTGCTTGGTGTGTACATGTATTCATAGAGTGAAGCTCTTCATTGCAATATTAGAAAACCTAATTGATACTTGGAATGGACAAGGCCCATCAGAAAACTATTTTAGAGGGAGCAAATTGCATAAAGACTAACAGGGCTTGTAGATCAAGCAAGAAGGAGACAATGCATATGTTATTTCACTAAAGTAAGACTGTCTAAAATGTAATGCATGGGATTTGCAGACAGAAATCTTAATTATCACCACTGATAATCTTCATTAAAACTGTTCGATATTCATAAACTGTTTCCCTTTCGCTTCTCCTTTTCTGTTTCACAGAACGCTACTTAATAACAAGTATAATGAGCTATTTGTTAATGTTCCTGCTTCATACGGATTTGTGTTGTTTTCTGACTTATAAGATTTTCCGCAAGTTTACTTACTGATTTAAAGTAACGAATGCGATCTTGTAGTTTTCAGTAGAATAACTGGCTCCTGTATACTTAACTATTCGAGGTTTGTGGATTGTTAGCATTTATTTATTTCCATTAAAAATTGTACGTTTGAGAAGTCTAATCCATTTTATTTAAGGGATTTTAAGCGTACGTTGTCGCTTTCACACTCTTGTAACAATGCCACACTAGTTTTAGTCCCTAAATAGATTTGCATGCTCTAAGGCAACTTGTTTGTTAAGAAAACTAGTTGTATTCTGACTAGTACTTTCTTGAATAAATGATTTCAAATCTCTTTTAATCAGTTTCTCCAATCTAGTAAGTGACATTTATTTTATTAGCTCGATGGTATTAAAAGATCTAAATGGAATTAATTGTAAGTGCATAATATAGTTTTTCTTGGTACGCCAACTTACTAACTTAAACTGGACGATAAAAAACGCATAATTACAGTAATTTAAATTTATAAATGAACTAAATAAGAGATACTAACTTGGAACTATTTCGTGAATAGTGTTCACTAACTCTATGTAGGCTTGTCTAGTATAACCTCTTCTCATGTTTTCTAGAACAACACTACTGCCTGATTGAGCTGGTAAATGTATATTTGAACAAATATTTTTACGTTCAGAAATTAGTTGAAGAACCTAGATGCAAATATCAATGATCATTACAATGAAGAAAATTAAATCAAAAATTTCATTTCAGTTTGATAAGAGTTGAAAGCCGGATAAAATTGTGACAAGTAATAACTCATTGACCAACAAAATATTTTTTAAACAATATGGTATCCCAATTCATAAACTCAAATACACATGACTAACTGTTCTACTTCCAGTAAGATGCAGACAAATACCTGCTCGACCTAGAGCGTGATCAGAGTCTAAATATGTGCTCCAGAGTGAGAGACACTTCAATCGAGCCACCCCAACTATAGCTATTGGCAATGTGATCTATTTGAGTTCATATATAAGTCGATTGTGAATGTCGCCAGGTCAGACGATGTTTCGCCATATGTTTAAATTTGATGTCTGCTAGAAACCGACGGTGACCTGAGCATAATTGAAATAGACGGTCGCCATTATATGTTCGCTGAGCTGTAACAACCTAAGGGCCTGTCAGTTTGGTTTAGTTCATCTACTTGAGCATCAAAATTACCTGACACATTTACTACGTCACAACGTTTAGCTTTTCGAAGGAGGTTGATTAGTTTCCTACGATAGCCTGTTCTGTTTTGGAACTCAATGCTATACCTACACGAGCGAGATCACGGGAAATAGCGGTGGGGTCTCTAGATACTCGAAGAATGATTCTTGCGAGTCCTTTTTACTGACAGCGTAAGGTCAAATGAATAACCGTACACTTAATGATAACGGATGCACACTACAGGATCCGCAAATACCAACACGTCATAGAGGACCAAAAGGTGAAGCTACAAAGGACACTCACGTCAGAACATTTGGGAATCTTGACAACAGCCATCGAGATATCATGCAAACGACATAGAGAACAAAGAAGAAACACCTTAAAAAAAACCAATCAAGATCTCAAAACCACCCATGGAAGAAACACAAACAACTGCGTGATCAGTCTGTCAAAACAACCACTAACAAATACGGAAGAACACCTACTCCGAAAGGGATTAAACTACAATACAAGCGACGCCTCAAAACTGAAATTCTTCGCAGCTCTAGGGTCATCACTAAGAACTTCCGGAATCAGTGAAGCAACAACAAGAAATAAGGCAAACTATAGTACCGCCAACTCAACAGGTGAAGGGAAATAACCAACTGACCCACAAGAACAAAAAGCTTTGAAGGAACTTAGAACTAGAAAGGATATTGTCATAGTTCCAGCGGAAAAGAGACGCAACACAGTAATTATGGACAAAGAAGGATACGTCAAAAAAGCTGAGAAACTACTTGAAGATAAGAGCACATACAAACTGATGAATATAAATCCCGTCAAAAAGTTAGACAACCGAATCTCAAAGACTCTAAACAAGCTAGTCAAAGCAGGAGAAATAACAAAACAAGACCAATGGAGAATGAAATCCAATGGATCGGTACTACCTCTATTTCACGGCAGACCAAAAATACACAAACCAAACATTCCATTACGTTCAGTTGCAGCACTTCCCGGAACGCCAACATACAATTTGTCAAAAGAAATCTCACGAATACTGAAACATTCAGTAGATTCATCCAACCACTTCATCAAATACCCTAAACATTTCCTGGACCAAATTAAGGACATCCAAATCAACGACGAACTGATGATATCCTTCGATGTAACAAAGTTATTCACCTCAGTTGAACCAAGGTTAGCAAAAGAAACTATATCCCTGCTCCTCGCCAACGACACAAATCTCACTAAGTACACGAAGCTTCAAATTCAAAGTCTACTAGAACTCATCGATTTATGCCTAACAACATATTTTAAATTCAACAACAAAATCTACGAACAAACGAAAGGGACGCCAATGGGATCACCAATATCAGGACTGATCGCAGAAGCAGTGATGCAAAGACTAGAAGCCGTGATATTACCAGTGATCAAGCCAAAAATTTGGATTCGCTATGTAGACTACACATTCGTCATCGTCAAAAAGAATGAGCTAGAAAACACTTACAAGCTGATCAACAACGCCTTCGATGACATCAAGTTCACAATGGAACAGGAGTCAGACAACAAACTATCATTCTTGGATATATTAATCACTAGAAACGACACAGGAAAACTGGGAACTGAAGTGTATAGGAAACTGACTCATACAGATCGAATTCTCAACTACAATAGCAACAACCCCAGAGCTCACAAAACCAACTGCGTACACACATTGTTCAAGAGGGCAAATACACACTGCAGCACACTGACAGCACGAAAAAAGAGAAATACCTGAAGGACCTATTTCAAAAGAATGGCTACCCAATCAACCTCATCAAAAAAATACCAACCGCATGCAGCATCAGAACCCAAGTCAAGCACAGAAATCAACAAAAAGATCGCCCTACCATACACAAAAGGTATATCAGAAACCGCAACGAGACTGCTGAAAACCTTCGGGATAGGTGTGGCACACAAACCGACAAAATCACTTAAAACAATCCTATGCAAACCAAAGGATGAAATAACAAAGGAAAACAAATCAAACATCATCTACAAAATAAATTGTGCCAACTGCGAAAAACACTACATCGGACAAAGCGGACGCATCCTTCACCTTCGCCTACATGAACATCAATTAGCAATCAAACGCCATATTTCCTCACTTATACCAATACACGTGGACAACTTCGGACACTCATTCGATTGGAAAAAAGTGGAAATCTTGGACAGAGGAAATCCCAAAAACACCAGAGAATTTTTAGAAGCCTGGCACTCAGGTCAATCAGCAATCAACAAGCATATTGAAATCAATCCAATTTATCAACCAATCAGGAAAACCATGCACAAATATAGGAACAAAAATCAAACCAATGGGAGACACAACCAAAACAAGTAAACAATGACAAATTTAAGGTCAATAAGAACCAATCAACATCGAGGTATACAGAACAAGCTGTGAAACACATATGGAGAAATTCGAACACTTCACTTCTATCTGAAGTTTTTGCTGATGATGTCGTTCAGAAGAAAGATGGAAGCTCCACGGCCAAACCATCCAGCTCAGAGAACAAAACTCCACCAGAATAACCGTACTTGAACCCCGCATAAGCGTTTTGGGGACTCAGCATACATTAATGATGCGAGATCGTAGAGTCTTAACTGACACAAGGTTCGAATATTGAATGCTATAACATGCAGTTTAGAGAATGGTTTCAAGAGACCATGAATGACATTCCGTGAACTCAAATCACTAACATTGGTGGCACATGGTGATATATATATGCTTGCATCTTATTTATCGCTTCGCCTCGATTCGATTTGATTCAGAATCTACCTCTTTATTCGCCTGCTACGTGCGAAGTAGCCTTTTTGCTCAAATTCGCTTGATGTGCTTGTTATCCGCGCTATCCAATATAAACTGTAGCCGGCGCTTTGTATTGCCTTCTGAATCCTTACACCTTTGGGATTTATTTAATAACGGTTATCAGGGTGATTAATAAACGAAACCAAGTTGCCACAAAGGAATATGATTATAGCAGGACGTCGAAGAGTATGTTTATGTCCCAGGGTCTGCCAAAGGGTGAATATTTGTTCTACACATCCACGTCCGGGTCTGAGACCAGCCTAGTTATCTCGGGTTCGCTCTTCACGAGCTCTAGTTAGAAGCCGAGGTTTTATTGAGGCTAATATTTTAGACACTATCAGTAAGACTGATTCCTTTGTGGTTATCACAATGGGATTTTTGTTATTTGTTATAAACTGGAACGATCAGCGATCGAGACTAGTCAGATGGGATTACGTCCAGTTTCCAGATTTTCGCTAAAATTTCAGTTAATCTAACTGCTAAAACTGAATCACCATTATTGAAAATCTCAAAAGTCGGTCCATTATGCTCTGCTGCTCTCCTTCGCTTTAAATTGTTTATAGCCTTCTCAGACATTCTAACAGTTCGAGGATTCTCATCAGTTTGCTTGGAGATAGTGGGTAACTGAAGTGTGGCTAAAGGTCAGTTAGGTTATTCCCTAAAGTGTTTTGCCGACCGGCTTATTCTCCTAGATTTAGAGTGAATAATAGTCCCGCCTTTTTTGAGATAGTTTCATTAACAATCGGATTTTTAATACTCGTTTCCCTGATAAATCTAAACAGCTGTCTACCGTTACCCATTACAGCTGATTTTTACGACTCTTCTGATTTCGCTAACTACCACTGCTCACGATCATTACGGAGGCTTTTGGTCAACCTACTTTTAAGCTGCCTCCGCTCCTTATCGTGTTCAGAGCCGGGCAGGACGAGTTTCCGTGCACCTATCAGTCCTGTAAACGCTTCCAAAATCCACCGATTTTTCCTAACCTTTTAGTTTAAGTTACTAATAGATATCGCTACCGTCTCCACAGCTTTTTGGATATCATACCATGTCATTTTCACGACCGACTAACTCCTCTCTAGTTGTTTTTGAAACATATTTTAAATGTAACGTAAATATGAAAAAATTAGAAAAATAACTAACTAACCTCTTTTGGGAAATCTTTTGGATGTGGTGATGTGAATCGAATACGAAGTTCTGGACTAATCTGACTTACTTGGTCTAATAAATCGAAAAATCTTAAACCACCAACTTTTGGTTTATAAACAGTTTTAAATCCAGGGACAAGTGTTGAAATCGTTTTAGACGAGTTGATTGATAAGTCTGTATTCGAATTATCACAATAACTATTAACATTTTGTCCAAGCAAAGTAATTTCTTTTACTCCCTTTTATTTAAATGAATGAAGGAAAAGGCAAAACAAAACAATAATTGGAAGTGTCGATGATGCCGTAGAATAATTGAGGGCAATATATTTAATACTGATGAATTTGGAATGAATGCCTGGAAGTTGGTGCGGGTATAAACTCATACTAGATCAAGCGAAAAATCATGATAGTAGTAAAGCAAACAGGGACCCCAAAACGCGACCTTTTTTAGAGGTTTAGTGAGTTATAACTTTTTATTTTAAGAAGTGTAAGTTATGATTTTCCTGAAACAATTATATTTCATACTGTTTTACAATTTACTAAAAGTGCATTGTTACGGTAAAGATTTATTTATGTGAACTGGGCTCTAATTGTTTCGGAAGGGTTCCGTGAGAATTGAGTAAAATACTGAATCAGTGATTCACATCATAATGTATAGACCTTTATACGGGTACTCAGCCACAAGGACAGATCTCAATTGTTGATAAGTACGTTTTACACTAGCGTTAAAAATATTGTTAATAGAAACTTGATAGTCTGCAAAAAATAACAACAGAAGCTACACAATTTTGATCGTCTCTTAGATGAATACTACGATAAACATTTAGGAACTAACTCCATTTCGCAATGAACCACATAACGGTCTTTTTCCAATTTCATAGTCCTAAGACGAAATACACTTTATGAGTTCATATTAATAGTTGTATTACTTGTTACAGAATCAATTAATTGAGACAATATATCACACGAATCACCAATCAGTCAAATACTGACTGTATGTCCTTAGAGAAAACCCTATGATCGACAAATGTTTCAAGACGAGTAAAGCAAAACAAGGATTGTGTAGCCGATTTAACACACAGTTTAGATCTTAACATAATTATATATATATATATATATATATATATATATATATATATATATATATATATATATATATATAATTTTGTTTGTGCCAACTGCAAATCTTCATCTTTTAGTTATGCAGTAGATAAACACGGTTTGTAAAGAGGTCTCAGATGGCAAAATCGGACGGGAAAAGTGTAATTAAATTTTCCGAAGATTCAGTTTCGCCCAATTTGTGGAATTTATTTTTGGAGTGTTTTTGTTCACCGGAACATCGACGTTTGAGGTTTTTAGTGAGTTCGTTGTCATTCACCAATAAAGCCGGGCAGTGTTGTTAAAGTTACAAGTGTAAGCACCACTAGATGTCAACTCAATGATCTAAAGATAATATGGCCGTTGTGCAAGGTCTCTGGACGGGTGTGTATTGTTTACAAGTCTTAAGCTATAACGAAACAGTTTTAAAATGAGTTCTGATATCTTTAAGTATCTCAGCTACTATCATTCGATGATAAAAACTAACATTGTAATGCAATAAGATGGAACTCTGTATGTACAGCAGCGACTAAATTGTACTTTTATCAGTGATGGAAAAATGGTAGGTTATAAATTGGGAAATTCGAAAATTTTGAAAAAAGGACAATCTACCTTGCACAAAGATTTAACATTTTTCAAATAAATTTCTTATTAATTATTTGTAGACTCTAGCAGAGAGTATGAGTAAGTGTTGTTGAACTGATATAAATATAAGTAAACCGATGTTACAGTACTTGTTCATTAGCATAAATTCATCAAACCTAGTTTCTACAAGTATACCAAACAATCCGACCAAAGCAAGATAGTACAATATACGGGGGAAAAATATAAATACGATTTTGTTCACACAAATAACCATTGATAACGGTAATAAAATCTCACTTCTAAGAAAACGAAATGATGGAACTACAATGTCCGTAAACATGAAATCTTGCCCCTATGAATAATAGACTTCTAGTTATTATAAAGCAAGAAACATGTGTGAATATACCTCATTAAATAAGCTTTGTGCTTCGTGAAGGATTGAATCCAATGGTCTACTGCGTTCACGTCCTCTGACAAAAGGTACAATACAATAGGTGCACATATTATCACACCCACGCATAACTGATAGGAAAGCCGTAGGAGCAGGGATTGGGTCTGAGGATTTGTCGGTTGTAAAATGACGTCGTACAGGAGTTACATCTGCATATGTCTCTTCCAGAGACAATGCGACACTAGCACCTTTTAGTCCAGAATGAGCATCTTCAATAAGTTTCGGCAAATCACGATAAGAATCAGGGCCGCAAACAAAATCTGCCGCAACAGTGTAATTATCGTGATCAAAATTAGATGACTGAAGATCACCCGCTTTTAAAGTTTTACGGCTGTCATCCATAAGGAGTTTATCCTTTAACCTTCTGGCCATACATCCTGAAATTTTATTAAGTAAAATATCATTAACACATTGTCGAACTTGGTTACTATTATTATTGTTGTGCTTAGTACTGAAGATCACATTTTGTTAATATCATCTAACGGTCACATGGTATATTGTAAGGGCTTGAGCTGATATCCAATTGTGGTAAAGATTTTTTGGATTTGTTTACTACACTTTTTTGATACTGTAAACGTTGTTTTCAGATGTCTGGTTGTGATGCTTCTAAAAAGACTATATTTCGAAATTTCTGTACAGTCAAGGTTGTGCAACTCCCCTTGGTGAAACCATTTTATCCACTAACACATTTTGAGCGCCAAACACTTGCTTTTTGCCCTTTGACTTTTTAAAAACGGCCCCACCATCTGAAGGCAGTGAGTGAGGTTTTCTTGCTATAAGTTACCAACCAAAGGACGCGTTCACTGCGCAGCAGTTCATTCTCTCCTACTTTATGGCTGTAAAACATGGCCGGTAAGAGTAGAGGATATTCGTAGTTTACTAGTATTTGGTCTTCGAAGCATTGCTCGTATATCCTGGGACCATCGAGCAAGTAACGCAGTTGTTAGGAAACGGGTACTAGGTAAGAATGGCAAATCAATGAATGAGGTAGTGGAACTTCATCAGTTGAGATGGCAGGGACATGTGTATGCCCAACCACTGACTACCGCGAGCGATGTTTTATGGTGTAGGAGTAGGTTGGAAGAAAGCTAGAGCGGCCAGACCAAAACATGGCACAAATCCATGAAGTCACTGACAAGTGGACTGAGCCATGTTGATAGGTGTAGACTACCTGGTTCGGATCCGCGAGACGATAGCAACTGATGGTTAGAGACCTCAAATGACATGGCTCGAAATAGTTTGCAATGGCGCAGATGCATCCAATCTTTGTGTTCTCCCAAATTCTAATCTTCTGAATTCTTCATGTCCCCTTTTTTCTCTTTCCAAATTTATCTCACTGGATTATATTCCTTGAGTAACGTCTTCAAACCCTAATCTTTCCGATTACTGCTTATACGAAGTTCTATCTTGCTGCTGACTGACTGATTGATACAGGCTATAAAAGCTTGGCAGCGTGATGGCATCACAAAAGAGGACTCCGGACACGTAATTTAACAGTATGACTTTTACCCCATCTCTATTCTCTGTCGAATACTTGAACACTGTCACACTTATTACGAACCAATAGTCGTTACATTTATTGACATCCGAGACGACTTCGATATTTTGGATATGACTGTTCATTAGTATCGTCTGTTGAAGGGTGACTTAAACATTCTACAGATGTCACAGCAAGGGCCTGTATGTCGTGCATTGTTTGCCGACCCCAGGAATGGGGGAAAAGTGGAGAGGTGGTCAGTTCGTGATATGAAGCCCTAGTTTTTATTGAACTGTATGTCTTATTAAATACTGTACTTGTTTGTTTATTGACTGCAATACTCTTCTCTTCTTTGGTTCGTTACAATATTATTTCGTTTATGTAGTACAATTTTGTCAGTGCCCAATTGTGAAAAAACTTATGTAGTAAATGACTAGTGAGAACCTTATAGTGTTTTAGCTCCATAGACATAATTCCACAGACCAGTTTATCAAAGTTTATGCAGGGTTTTGGTTATTGTTATTCTCAATCACGATTGGCAAATGTAATGAACTTGTTTTACTATCTTCCAACACTTAGTAAAACATTAGTTATTAAAACGAAAATATCAGCTTTACAAGAATAGAACTGAGAACATTGAGAATGTTGTGTTTAATCACAAAACCGGTAAGTCCCTGCCTGTCATTTCGGAGCAGCTCCAATACTAGGTTGCCATCCAATGATACCCAAGCTTTCAGTTTTTACAGACATGTATATTTTACTATCTTAATCATGTGTTTCTAGTTTTTCTATCTTTATTATACCTTGAAAATACAGGAAGCATGCTACACTATATTACTAGAAAACCTAAATGATAAATTTGTTATATGAGAAAAAGGTCGTGTTTTCAAAGGCTTATTAGTACACACGACTTTCAGTTATTCACATAACGAAGTTAAACCCCGCTCTACATCAGTTTGACCAGGTAATGCCACCAGTCCTTATAAAAAGGGCAAGATCAAAAACCGAGTATACATGAAGCTGTAATTTGTCACTGAGTAATCTTAGAAGTTGTGTTTCAGAAGTCAAGAACATTCCATCAATTATACAGAGACCACTGTGATCTTTTATAAAAGGCCTACGAATGGATATTTGATTATAGTAGCTTATAAAGGGACCCTATAGCATACGCACCATTGAATCTAAGATTATGTCTAAAACAAGATACTTACCTAGAACACCTATTTTTATATATGATTTACGGTGAAGAGATCGCAGGTGTTGAATACGTCGCCAAATTTTTACTTCAGCACTATCTCGAATGGCACATGTCATGAGCAAGACAGTGTCACACTGTAGGATTATAATTGAAGAAAAGGACCAACCTGTTCATCCGACGGGACAATAGTATACCCAGCTTTTGTTAATAAACTCTGAGCAATATTGGTATCACTATGGTTCATTTGACACCCATAAACTTCAATATAGACTGAAATGAATGGGTTTACTTAGAGTTCGAGATGCATACTTTTTTTACGGATCGGAGCACAAAGAAAACTTGCCTGGTTGCAAATTTATCTAAAAATGCAGCTATTACCTTTGTAAACGTCCGTATTCCAGTTGAAATCTTCCCGATACTTGTACAAAATCCAATCATTGATGGAATGCTTAAGATAGACTAAAATTTTGGAAAATATTACTGTTGCATGTAGACATGTTAATTCTACCAAATAAAAAATTCAAATTTAACACAATTCTACATATAAAACCTCCACAAGAAACAAGAAGCATATTAAACAGTGAATGACCACTTGGAGCCATTCATCACACTTTAAGTTTTATAGTATTTTCGAATCCTTTCATGTGTGTGGTAGTTGTCAGATGTATCAATCGTTGTACATGACACAAGATGATAAGTGTACCCTTTAAAATTGTTTGCTGTATAGATGCTGGATGGAACTAAAGCACATAAGCCGGTTTTTTAATGAATATTTAGTGAACTTTAGCACACTTTGAACAAATGAGTACATGGATGTAGCAGCGATGACTTTGTTGATAAATAGCTTTATAGCTAAGCGGCGTATACGAAACTAAAAGTACTAAAAATCAAAAGGTACAGAAAAAATAAATGGGAAGACTTATTCCAAACTATAAATAACAAATAGCATGAATGAGTCTTAATATCTTGGTAATTTTAAGAGAAAGTATAGTAAAATTCATGAAAGACAAAACAGAATATTGATGAAATGCATCGAAAGAGACCCATCAGTGACACGATTACTTAGATAGCTTTTATAAACTTTGGAATTTGGAGGGTAACAAATATTTGACATTCCCAGCAAGAATGATAATACATTTGTTTTGAAACAAGAATTATCTGAAATGATTTGTCTGGCACTCTTTACTTTTGGACATATTGAACGGATGAAATTTCCGAATACGAATATGAAATCTGGAGGAATTTTTATCAAATACAGGCAGATAACTGGTGATTTATGAAAATGGGTTGTTGTTACATTCATGCTCTCAACTTTCTAAGATTTGTTTAACCATTGTAAATTAGCATGACCGTTGATAATTATATGGTAATCAAGTTGAATATCGAGGTTTAAGTCAGTCATTAGCATCCAGCCAAAGAATTTTGCAACTAAACTGAGATAAAGTCTGCACGGACGCTCATGGGAAATTAATTATCATCAGTTAAAAAAAGAATATTACAAATTCCCGACTAAAATCGGGTTGGAAATAAAGTGATCTCGATAAAATTCAAGAACTTTCGCAAAACCAATTAATGGTAATTATTATGCCCCTACTAGCGATTTATTTTAAAAGGCAAATCATGGAATCCTGGTTAGAAGTTAAGACTAATGGAGTCAAAATGTCTGGTGTGAGGCAGTTGACCACTAAAGATTGAGTAGTAGTGCTACATAACGAATCGAATGAAGTTAAACATAGATAGAGGTTTGATATCAGTTCGTAATGAAAACCCTAACTACAAACCAAAAGTGACAAAACTACCTTCTGAACCTATTTCAAAATTATTGCTAGAGATGTGAAGCTAATTTTTTGATTCTGAATGTTTTAGAAGCAAATTTAATTTAGCTATAGGTAAATTAAATTAGATAAACTATGCCTATATGCATAGGTTATAATCTAATTATGTATGGTAACTGCAATATAAAAATGACGACGCCAAAAATAAAAATTAACAAAGCTTTTATGAATTTTTGTGTCAGCTTAATATAAATACGAATAACGATAAGTAGATATCAAGAACCGGTAAACCTTCATGACGGAACCGAATGACCCTGAAATGACCATGAATATTTGAAAGTTCTTACTCAGACATTCAACAAACAATCCCCAATGTTGTTTTGTACGACCTAGGAAGGACCTTATATTTAGCTATTCACCATTTATTACTTATATCGAATACTTTCAGTTTGTGTTTGTAAAACACGGGTGACTGTTTATTGAGCTAGCCCTGATAAATGTGATCTTTCATTATTGATGGAAATAAAGAAATTCCGGGATTTATATAATCTTCGTGGATCATTGACGCCCTCAGATAAAAATGCGGGTTAGATGCGGCTAAGCTTTAATTTCTTTCCTAGTTCAATACCGGATTTTAAACCCTACAATTTATTTCTCGATGGCTTCATGATTTAAATGTGTGTACAATTCATCGAGAAGTGTGACAAACCAAAGGACGTGTTATATACAACACAGTGGAAAATAAAACCTGCTTATTATATCTTGGCCTCTGAGAAGATGAAACCACTGTAATGATTTACCTTAGGATAGATGCTGCGATGAACGTTGCTTATCCATCGGCAGGACCGACGAAGTTATATGAAATGAACTGCTCACTCAAACATACAAAGATTGACAGGTCCACTTTTCTCAGTACTTCCAACTGAATTTAACAGTACACATATACGTCTCAAAGTGCATGCGTCGGAAGAACAAAGAAAAATGTATAGGTTCACACTTTCTGTCACGTTTCAGGGAATTTGAGACTGATAGTCACTATGGCTTCATATTGTGCAATAGCTCGGCATTTGATTGATACTGAGCACACCACTGACAGTACACAATCCTCTATAATTATCAGTGGACAAAAAGCGCTGCGTCTCCGGTTTACTGAAGCAGCAACAATAAAGAAACTTTTTGAGACCCGTCATTTTGATTTTGTCCTCGATTAGATCGGAAGATGTTCGTTGAAGGGCTCACCATTTTAGTGGCCCAATGATCTGACTCCAAGATCGTATAAATGTTTGTTATCGCCTATTCTCGTATATCATCGTCGACTTAAATCGCGTTATCCAATAACGGAATTAAATAAGTCGAATAACGAGAATTGACTTGAGAATACATATATTTCGTACATGAAGCGAATGAAACAGAGCAAAGCAAAATGACACGTATGGAAGATGGCTGGGAAGCCAACTCCATTTTAATCAAGCGTTACTCAATATTTATAGTCAGACAAAATTAAGCTACAGACATGTGATTAATGGAATAAGAAGGACACACATATATACGTTCATATAAAAGCAGTCAAGAGTGACAAGCGAATAATTGACAAGGTCAAAATATGACTCAAGTAGAATGAATAGAATGGTTTGTCCAAAAACTAGAATAAGATATATTGGCTTAAAATAATGACTGACACTACAAACTCAAACCTTGGTAAATTACTATTGTCATTATTATTATCAGTACATTGATAGTGTTTATTTTATTATGTGGTCTTGGCCAAACTAATTATTATTTTATGTACAACAAAATCATCCTTTTGTTCATCGATTTTTTATTCACTTAATTTTCAAAAATTATGTAAACTCTTCAAATTCTGTTTAATTGCTACGTAACTTATTTTATCAGTTTCTAATTCTAGACAATTACAGTCTTAGCTCTTCAAGTCTTCTATATCTATTTTCAAGTGATTTGGATCTTATGTAAACTCTACACAACCACTATAATTATCACACAATCTATCTTATCTGTTTTTGGACTTCACTTATTTACTGCTTCACCCACCCTCTATGACACTGAATTCGATTTCCAAATGACCTCACACCTGTTTTTAGATAGTTTCTTGTTATTTTAATTTTTTCGTCTTCAACGTCAATTGTTAACCACTATATCATGCTCCTATGTCACTTTTTTAAGACATATATTGTTGTCAGCAGCTGATGAGAAACTAGGAAAAATTCATATTATTCTGCCTCAATTGTTGCTTTGGCTTCATTTAGATTTGTAAAAAGAAAAACCTATTGCATTAAATAACTAGTGCTTCTCATGATTGTCTAACTCGTAGTCTAACAGTCATGAATGAAGTGGTATTCAAGTCAGACGTAAATCAGTGAGCACACTGAAATTGTATCGTGTTTTTGTAACTTAAACTAAGTAGTCATATTACATATAAACATCACAATAGCTTACGCGTCTATGTTGACGAAACTTAATCTCCCTAAAAGACAATACAATATAATGGACCTGTCGTATTTATGGTATTATTTAAACTAAAATATCATTAAAAAGTGTACAAAATATTTGAAAGGCATTACATCTGAACATTACAACCGACATAATGTTATAAAGAACTAGTGTGATTAAATCTACAATGCAATAAGTAGATTTTTCGTGGATACGAAGCTTTACTTGAGAAAGCGGAAATGTGCTTAGGACAAATAAAAACTATTTTATGTCTACCAGTGATGAGACAAATCAATGGACTAAAATATAGACAGTTAAGCATGACAAATCAATGTGGGATCTTACAAGACTTCAGGTTTAGGAAAAAGATAACGTGAAACTTTCAGGAAAATATCATACAATATTAGAAGTACTATTGAAGAACTGAATAATAATCTCCTTTGAACTAAAAATAAGTACGATAAACATAATCTGACAGATTAAGAGGAATAAAATTACATATATAGGAAAACGAATGATTACTGTCACATAGAACGTATACTCAAAGGGTTCTCTTACACATGACGGATATTATAGTATCAATACTTCGTTGTTTGGATTTACGTTTTTGAATGCTTTGAAGTTACATTAAAGACATTTGAGACAATGATCTTCAGTATCCGGTCTAGAGAGGAAATAAGTCATTTGATGCTTTTCTAACAAGGTTGATACCTCTTCCCTGATAAATTTTTTCTTCCTATTTTTATTCATTTGAAGAGAAAAATGACACCCGTCTAAATGAGATAACACTAATATCAATGCTTAAGTAATAGTATTTACGTCAGCATGATAATTTGCCTGACATCATTAGCTATGTGTAAGAGTAACGCAGCGTTCATATGAAAATTCTTAGTGATGTAAATACTTGGTCATTTACGTTAAATTAATTTTGGCCATTAAAATTAATGAGGTCAGCACTAAGTATTGAATGATCAAAAAACTACCATCTATAATCTTGCGCAATCATTCATGTATTGTCTGTAGTAGGTAATTGTCCCACACCCTACGCGGATTGAACTCCATTGGTCACGGTTTCTCACTAGGCAATGGATAAATGGTTGCGCAAGATCATAGATCGATTGAAGTTAGACATCAACACCGTTAGATGCCGACTCAGTGGTCTAGAGGTTAGGCGTTTGCTCACGAAACCGAAGGTCATGAGTTCGAGTCCTTCGTGCGGGACCGTGAACGCACACTGCTGAGGAGTCCCATACTAGGACGGAACGGCCTTTCAGTGCTTCCAGGTTTTCAATGGTGGTCTAGCTTACATCGACTCATGAATTCAACCATTAAAATCACTACAATCTCTACAAACCACCATTCTGATCATTCAAGTTTGCCTGCTTAAATGTAGTAATGTAAAAAATTTTCTTGACAAAATACGCTCGTAAACTTATTGTTCATTTCTTGTCAATACTGATGGAATAAAGCATTGACTGTAAATTACTATTTATCAATGAAGACTGTAAAATTGCAAGTGAACCTAAAATGTTCAATGATACAACTTGTAGAAAAATGGTTTAATGAATTTACCATTATAAAATGGACTGAATGTTTATCCGAGCTTTAAGACTTAGAAATATGAAATATGTTCCTAATAGCCGAATGCCTTTAAATTGTTGATCTACCACTGGCTAGAAAATGTTAAATAACCAAATGGACAAGAAGATTACAAAAATATGTCTTGTTTCGTAAACATTACATTCAAATGAAAAGAAGCGCAAGATCAAGAAGTCAAATGTAAAACACATAAATGGTGTATGCTTTAAATGTTAATTGTACGTTAATTAAAACATAAACTGTTTTATTTCCTGTGATTTCGGATATTTAGCCTTGGAAGGTGAACAGTGTTATAAAACATGGAGTTTGAGGTACATTGGTGTACGATTCGTAAAAATATATGCTATTAATATTGTTCAGAATGGTAGACTCTTTTAACCATTAAATTTGGTATATTTTTACTACCCTATTGTATATGAATAATACGATAGCATTCAAACACCATGTTATAAAGGTAAATGTTTGATACTATAGAACACAGATACTTCTGAAAATATAGAAAGATAATTTCAAGAAATAGAGGTGCTTGTAGTTGATTTTATAATTTATCAATCAATGTACATGGCGAATATTGTTGATTTCAGTTTATAATAAAAAATAATAACCATATTGTTTAAACACATTGAAACATTGATGATAGAAATATAAAATCTACTTATTTGTTTACATAAATTCACTTGGCATGAAATTGTTTTTATTAGCTTGATACAACATTAAGGTGATCAGGAATTTTAGAAGTTTTTTTCTTTTTTTGGAATAAAAAAACCTGTTAAAAAAGTATAAAAACTTTGAATATTCAATGAGATATCTAGATGTGCAATAAAAATAGCTCAAAATCCCGTGTAATTATGTTTACTTGCCAAATAGATAAAATGGATTCATTGACGAAATTAAATTATGAGTCAAATGACAGTATATGTAGTCGAGATATAAATAGACTTAAACACAGGATTGCTTTCACGTCAGCAAAATTGTTTTTCTTTCTGTATTATTAAACATATGATATAAATAATTACTAATAAAGGTGCTCTACTATTCAATTCCTAACTCTTAAGTATACTGAAATCAAATGGTTTTTCCTTCTATCTTAAATAGATTTAAAATGTCTGAGCGGAAATTTTCAAATTATAAAAACACTCAGTCAGAATGATATCAGTGTGTTTAAACACAAATTTTATGAATAGGATCTGTTACTGTGTAGACATTTTTAATGTCTAAATATGATTACTTTTCGTATGATATATTCTGCTGTATATTAATTATTTATTATTATTTTTT